TAAAGGAATTTCACAGAAATTTCTATTTTTAGTAACCATGGCAACACCGTCCATCGAAATCAAAAACCAATGCACTAAATTATGTATCTTAGTGTAGTCTACTTGTGTGCCAAGTTATATTGAAATCGGACCAAAACTGTAGGAGGAGTAGCGTTTTGAAAAATTGTTTACAGACAGACGGACAGACAGACAGACAGACAGACAGACAGACAGACAGACGGACGGACGACGGACACCTTACTATCGCATAAGCTCTTCTGGTCTCTGACCAGTAGAGCTAAAAATTAAACTGTATCAATTGTTGTAATCAAATTGCACTATGTTAACAAAAAGGTTAAAATTAAAGTATTTATGTCAATTCTACGGACTTACAATAATAATGTACTTCCTGTATGATTTTAATTAGTAAAATGTATTACATATGTATCTGCTAATTAGTAAATTATATTCACAAGTACGTCATAGCTATGGATAAAATAGGAGTGGTTGGAAGAATACACAGTTTAATAAGCAATGCCTGTGGACCATTGTGCTCACCTGCATAAACATTTTTCTTGGCACAATTTCAAGTCACTTAAGCCTTCATGACACAAAGAATATGCCCCACAAATGTTTTTTTTCCAAATGTTAATGATAATAAAGTTTCATAGCAGACTCTATGGTCAAAGAAAACCCCTGTTCATTTAAGTTTTTTCCTTATATAGATATATCTAAATTTATTCCTCTTTTAAGCCTCTACCCATCATAGTTTCCTAGGATTCAAATCTGAATTAAAAAGACAAAAAATAATTCCATAATAGTTTGTTAATAAGTAAGCATGTCTTCTCATATTCTACCTTGCAAGAAAAGCTGCAAAAAGAATTGCAGAATAGTATTTTCATATCCCTAACTTGCAAGAAAAGTTGCCAAAGGAAATGCAAAGTAGTATTTTCAAGTTTATTTAGTGGAAAAAATAGAAAGAGAACAATTTGACTGATATTTCCATAATACGTGGTAAGGGAAAGAAGCCTGTTGATTTTTAGGACAAAAGATCAAAGGTTGAAGTCAACAATAACCCCCCCCCCCCCCCAAGTTGTGTAAACAATTTGAAGACTAGTTCTACAAAAGAAATTTTGTTGCAGTAGAGTAAAACACACATATAATGAAATGCCAGGGATGAAAAAATTCCTTCGTTATAAGCGTAATTCTTTTTATTTACATTTGCAAATATTTTTCTTAGATGAACCTATTGAAGAGAAAATATGTTCCATTCTGTGTGAACTTATTAGGGGGTCAGAGGTCATGGCGTGACCGAAATCAAACAGCGAGATGATATCTTGTCTACATATTTCTGTCCCCGTGACACTGGTTTCGGAACTTCTAAGCCGTTAAAGCGATGAAAAAGATAAAATTATTGAAACATATATTCAACAAATGATCATTAGTTCTTTCTTTGGTGTGAAGAATGTTTTTAATTAGCCTAAAATCACGCTTACCTTTTTAACCCGAAATTCCTTTGAAGGTATGTAAACTGAAGACGATACCACCGCTTTTGACTTCATATATAAAGAACTCATACAATAATAGTAAGATTATTCTCAGTAGCGATCATTGTTTTTTCATTATGAACAGATATTTCCTGAACTGTACTGCTGAACATCAATGTAAGTATTCAAATGTTGGAGCGAGGCGAACTCTCAAGACTAAACAGCTTCTAGGTCATTGCGTGTCACAACATAGCAATAAGGGGGGCCGTTAATGTAATAAATGCAGTTCTTTCAGAAAATTTGTCTCAAATGTAAATAAAAGTAATAAACAACAATGTTTAAAAGTTCATTGGGAAATGAACTTGGTTGGTACGTGATCAAATCTTCTGAGAAGCCCTTCAGGCTTCACAGGATTTGATCACGTGACCAAGTTCATTTCCCAGAGAACTTTTTAACATTGTTGTTTATTTCTTAAATATCATTAAGTGTTCGATATATTTTAAAGTCAAGGGAAATGAAAATCACTTCGCTATAAGCGTCATTATAAGCATGTTTTACTGAATATAGCTCTGTAAAATTTGACTCTTATTGGCCATACATTCAGGTTTCTGTGGCCTCTTTACAAGATAAGTATAAATTTACATTTCAGGAGGAAGCTTGAAAAAAAAAAAAACAGAAATATTCCATAGGACATGAATGCTCTGCCCAAGGTCCATTACTAATGCAACATGAAAAGAAAAAATGCACTTGCCTCTTTGTTTAAGACTAGGGAACATAGGTAATCAGAGACTACAGAGCTCACCTCAACGAATATTGTCTTTAAGTAAGACAAAGTCCCATATTAATAATCTAGTAGTGTGCATCACTAGATGTAACATTTATGCAATTCTGGTCCGCAGTTACTTGGGAATGGACTTACCTAAAAACTTTAAACTAGTCACTAATCCAGAAAATGTAAGTCATATCCAGCATCTGAAGCAAGTTTGAGAGTGTTCATCCAGTGATACATCATCCATGCAAGTTTGATTCTGATAGCCCTTATAGTTTACTTTAACCTGGTCACTCATCTGAAAAATGTAGGTCAGATACAGCATCCGAAGCAAGTCTGCTAGTGTGCATCTTTAGATGTATCGTCCATACAAGTTTGGTCAACATATGGCTTACAGTTGCTTGGAAATGAGACCTACTCCAAAAACTCTAAACTGGTCACTAAACCAGAAAATGTAGGTCAGATCCAGCATCCGAAGCAAGCATGGTAGTGTGCATCCTTAGATGTATCATCCATGCAAGTTTGGTCAATATAGAGCTGATAATTAATTGGAAATGAGACCTGCTCCAAAAACTGTAACTTGGTCACTCAACCGGGAAATGTAGGTCAGATCCAGCATCTGAAGCAAGTCCAGTAGTGTGCATCCTTAGATGTATCATTCATGCAAGTTTGGTCAACATAGAGCTTTTAGTTACTTGGAAATGAGACCTGCTCCAAAAACTTTACCCTGGTCACTCATCTGGAAAATGTAGGTCAGATACAGCATCCGAAGCAAGTCTGCTAGTGTGCATCTTTAGATGTATCATCTATGCAAGTTTGGTCAACATCTGGCTTAAAGTAACTTGGAAATGAGACCTGCTCCAAAAACTTTAACCTGGTCATTTATACGGAAAATGTAGGTCCAGCACTCGAAGCAAGCGTGGTAGTGTGCATCCTTAGATGTATCATCCATGCAAGTTTGGTCAATATAAGGCTTATAGTTACTTGGAAATAAGACCTGCTCCAAAAACTTTAACCTGCTCCAAGAACTTTAACCTGGTCAAAAAACATTAACCTGGTCATTCTTCAGCTGAAATTGCAGCATCTGAAACCCTGACTGGTACAATGAAACATACTAAAAGCATCCTCCATGCGTATTTGCCAACGCCGATGTCGAGGGTATTACATAAGCTCCCCCAACTTCATTGAGGTGAGCTAATGAGCTAAAAATGAAGAATAGTGAGGTCATGGTCACATGGAAGGTTTATGTCAGCAAATTATGACACACATGAATAGCCCTCACAATTTGTATCAGTTTATGAAGGTGATGAAAATCTCTTGAATAGTTTCTTTGAAACTGAATTTTAAACACAACAAATAGTAAAGATCATAAGGAAGGTCAAGGAAGAAAAAAATGGACACAATTTATAAATTCTCACCAATATGTATCAGAAAATATGCTCAGATAAAATTATCTTGAATAATTTCTTTGAAATTAAGCTAACAAAAATTTCAGAATAGAGAGGTTAAAGTCACAAAGGTCAAAATCTTTTGATGCAGTTGAATAGCACTCACAAATACATGTATGTATGAACATATGAAATATGATAAATAAATATACTGCATAGTTTCTTTGAAACATAGCTAAATACAAATCTAAGAAAAGTGGGGCCAAGTTCAAAGAAAATTAAGGTCAAGGTCAAAAATGTTGATGCAATTGAAAAGCTCTCATCAATATGCATCAGCATATAATGTTTGATAAAAACATTTCTTTGAAACTGCTTAACAAATTTAAAAGAAGTGGAGTGAAGGTCAAAGGAAAGGTGAAACTGAGCTAAACAAATTAAAAAGAAGTGGAGTTAAGGTCAAGGGAAAGGTCAAGGTTAAAAGTGTTGATGCATTTGAATAGCTCTCATTAATATCAGCATATAAGCTTAAAGGTTTGATTAAAATATCTTGTTTAATGGAAACTGAGGTAAATGCAAAGTGCAACAGAAGGACAGAAGACGGACATGACAATCACTATATGCCCCGAACATATTCATGGCATATTATTACCCTGGTTCAATCAAGAGTGTATGGGGATTTAAAATTACCCCATGTTGTATTCCCTGAGACAGAAGACCGAAGGGTGTAGGGAGTACGACACGGGTTAAATCCCTGTACACTCTTGAGAGAAAATGGATAATGAACTTATTTCCTATGTAAAACATACAGCATTTTGTGTAAAATGTTACTCGTAAACTATGCAACATTTTGTACATGCCGTCAAGCCAGCTGCAATGCTTGTAAGAGCTGGTCCACTTTGTATTCTTGAAAACTCAGGAGAAAAAAAAAAAGAAATTTATACTAATTGTATTGAATTTGTAATGATACTTATAATTTAGAATTATGATGATTATTAATTTACTTTATTCTTATTCTTTTTTGTAGAGAGACAATGCATTGTGATGTCATGTTTTTTACCCCTGACTGCGGTCCAGTGTACAGGCCGATAAACACCCAGCTTGTTAACAAATCTTGTGTTACAAGTTACATAGGAAATAAGTTTATTTCTTGTCCACTGGTTTTTAACTCTTTCAACCTATTTTTTTCTTATTCCCTAACAAAAACCCCTCTGAAGAAGGCATGACATTTCATTCAAATAAACTTGAAACTCATTGAAAAGGATGCTAAAATACAAGTTTGGTAAAAAAAAAAAATATGGCTCATTGGTTCTGAAGAGATACATCTGACTTAGCTACATTTTGTTACACAGTAGAGTTTACCAATGCAGACAGACCTACCTAGAAAACAATCAGTCTTGTGTTCCCAGGTGATTATTCCAAAACCCTCTCCTACTGCAAAATAAAAAAAAAAATTAACTCCAATATAATAATTTAAACACTATAAAAATAGTTTTATGGGATAAATGCAAAAAAGTTGAAAGTTATTTTAAAAACTTAATTCTTGCTTTTTGTATAAACAATGAATACTGTAAAATCAATAATCAGTGTGGAAGTTTAATTTTCGCTGTTTTCGTGGAATGAAAAAATCCACAAATTCATGACCTCCACAAAACATTAAAATTTAAAACTATTTATAGTACAACTACAAAATCAAATCCCCATCAGGCCATGAACCAAGAATATCCCCCCATACCATGAAAATTTGACCCCACAAAAAGAAGTGATTTTACAGTCAATAAAGTTATTTAGCATTTAATTGAAAAACCTTTATCATATCACAAGAATAACCTTCTTGGGAATAAAACATTAATTTTTATTATACTTCTGTTAAAATGTTTCCTATATAAAGTTAAGAAGGTAAAATAACTATCTTTATAGTCTCAAAATTTCCACACATAGCAAAGCTATACCCCGGGATATAGTTTTTGCTATCCACCCCTCGGAAAATTTTCATGCAATTTTTGCCGTCATTTTTGATTTCCTGTAATCAATCTATAGACTTATGATGTCATACTGACTTCAGTAGCATTGTGACGTCATCAGGATTTCAGCTCATTCTAGCAGTGTTATCTTATTCCAGATACTTGTTCAGGACTTTTATAATTTTTTTTTCATGTTTTTACTATAGAACTGTAGTATCAGGTAAATCCAACCCTCAGAAATTATGATATACATCAGTATAATAAAACACTTATCCACTGGCTGTGACTGGGATAGCTCTTTTATCAAACCCTTGACAGGAACTATTCCCCTCGGGCAAGCCCTCGGGGAATAGTTCCTGTCGTGGGTTTGATAAAAGAGCTATCCCACTCACAGTCAGTGGATAAGTGTATAATATTATACCTTCATGTAGATTAGTTGAATCTGATTCGAGAAACATTTGTTAAAAAACACTGTTACCCGCTGAATGATGAAGCCACGCCCTCCAGCGTAGCAACAGTTAATGCTTGACGACGGGTGATATTCCAAAAAAATAGTGACTGCGCAGAATTTATGCACGCACAGTTCACTGTTATATGTATTTGTATAAAACATTCAGTATAATATAATAAATATTGCATGTAGTTGAGTGTAACATTGAAAAATTTCACCCCTCGAAAACTATTGTCAACCTTGGCTGCGCCTCGGTTGACAATGGTTTTCTTGGGGTGAAATTTTTCAATGTTACACTCAACTACATGCAATATTTATATAATAGCATCTTCAGAACCATATATTATATGGTTATATTATATGATTATATTATATGGTTATACTGTGTATCAAGTGGAGGGGTATTTAAGCTTAGACACATATTCAACCGTCTTAACAAGTAAACTAAACTCTTGAATTTAATTATATTTGAAAACATGCGTGCATGTCCATCTAGGGGTGTTTATAAGAGCAGCTGTTAGCTGTTAGGAAAAAAAAAACCCATTGGTTTTATCACCAATAAGTACTTCCTATCCATTTACACAGTATAACAAATTAAGTCTTGATAAATAATATTATTATTGATTGCAGCATTATTTAATTTTCAGTAGAGGGATCAACTACATGTGTTGTTTCATGTCCTTTATTAATTGTCTGCAGCTGTTGCATTTTGTAACGTTCAAGTAATTACCGACTGTTGTATTACAACTCGAGACAGAAGAAGTTCTAAGCAGGTATTACTTCTTTACACTCTCTTCTCTCTCTCTCTTCTAAAATTAGGCATTATTAGGAAAATTTTTAAAGATTTTGCCTTCATATTTCAATGTAAAACTTTGATATCCTTTTGTTACCCCACCCTATCCCCAGGGGTCATGATTTGAACAATTTAGAATCTACACTACCTATGGATGCTTCCATATAAGATTCAGCTATTCTGGCCCAGTGGTTCTTGAGAAGAAGATTTTTTAATGACTCCACCCTATTTTTGTCTTTTCTTGATTATCTCCCCTTGTAAGAAGGGTTGGCCCTTTGTTTTTTAAATTTAAACTCCCCTTTACCCAAGGATGCTCTGTACCAACTTTGGTTAAAATTGGCTCAGTGGTTCTTGAGAAGAAGTTGAAAATGTGAAAAGTTTACAGACAGACGGACAGATAGACGGACAGATGAGGGAAAACAGGTGATCAGAAAAGCTCACAAGCTTTCAGCTTAGGTAAGCTAAAAATTGATATAATTGTCCAAGAAAAACAAGATGGTGGCAATGTGAACCTTGAGATTTATTAGAATAGGTGGGGTGGGGTATTTTTTTGTGTCTGTGACACCTTTTGAAAAAAAAAGGCAAAAAAAGGGAAGTATGTTCCCAACACTTTGTTAACATTCATAGTACTGATCACCTTATAAAATTATGTAAGTACCCGGTAAATCTTCAAATGTTTCATTTCATTTTTCCACACCCAAACTGAAAATTAAATCATTAGGAACATGTACAGTAGAGACCAATGAAAAATTTTCTGTTTGTAAGTAGAAATTATTATATTAACAAGTCTATAATACCCGCAATAATAACAGGACTTAATTATCCCTGTTATGTGTTTTTAATTTTCAATTACCAGTAATATGAAATTAAAACCAGAAGTCTCTGACGAGACTGTAGCTCTACTGGTTTGTACTTATAACAAAAGAAAGATAAAAGAAGCACTGCACTTGAAACTTTGCAACAGCAATAAATAGAATAATGATCCTTGGTTTAGTCTCTTTTTGTGGCAAGATTTATTGCAATCAGACTAAAACTGTAGGAGGAGTAGCATTTTAAAAGAATTTTACAGAAATTTTGATTTTAGTAACCATGGCAACATCAATCAACAAAATTAAAAATCAATAAAGAAAAATATGTAATTCAGAGTAGTCTACTTGTGTGCCAAGTTATATTGAAATCAGATCAAAACTGTACGAGGAGTGGCATTTTGAAATTATTTCAAGAAAAATTATATTTTAGTAACCATGGCAACACCATTCATCGAAATCAAAAACTGATATAGGGAATTATGTATCTTAAGGTAGTCTACTTGTGTGCCAAGTTATACTGAAATCAGACCAAAACTGTAGGAGGAGTAGCATTTTGAAAAATTGTTTACAGATGGATGGACAGACAGACGAGACACCTTACTATCCCACAAGCTCTTCTGGTCTCTGACCAATAAAGCTAAAAAGCTTATGATATAAACAAAATTTCTGTCTTGAAATCAATTAAAAACAAGGGCACCGCAAAGTGGAACACACACACAAGCAAGTTACTATATCCACTCAGAATAAGTTTACTTGATCCAACCTGCCTATAAGCCCCTTATTCTTCCCTCCTTAAAAGCCTTAAATTCTCCCTCTAAGACACATCAACCCAGGGTCTTCCCTAGTATATTATACAAGTCATATCCTAGTCATATTATATATATTTATTGTGCAACCTTTGTTGACAATGGTTTCTTGGGGAGAAAATTTTCAATGTTACCCTCAACTATGTGCAGTAATTGTTATATGTTATTATACAAATAATATTGAACCGTACTCGCATAAATTCCACATATAAGTCAACATTTTTTAGGAATACCACCCATCATCAAATAATATTGACTGTTGCTATGTTCTATAATGCTGAAGGGCATGCCCGTTTCATCATTGAGAGGGTAACAGTATTTAATATCAAATGTTTAGAATTTGACAAATCAGATTTAATCAATATACATGAAACTAAAAGTATAATATCACTAAATGTAACAGGAAGGGAGAAAATGTGACAGACCATACCATGCAAGAATCATACCTGGGCCCCCTGAGCTCTAGACAGGTGCTCTACTACTAACTGAGCTATCTGGCTATCAAATCTGCCTGACCGCCACAAAGAGAGTTGAATTCAAACCAACTTTACATGAAACTTTGAGCTCTTAATCTTAGAATGCATGGTTCATAATTTTGGAAAGTGACAATACTGTTTAAAAATTTGACATAGACAACTCATGATTGCCATAGACCCCAGAAGGTTAATTTGTTGGATTGTATTTCAGCATGGACCTTCACCCAGTTGATTTTAAGCTTCACAGAAATATGCCACAAAGAATTCAATATTCAGCTTTCGCGATACTTGATTATAGAGATACCTGAATGCATGCTTAAGTCAAATACTTTAAAAATAACCTAATGAGCATTTTGATCAGGATGTAACATCATAGAGGAAATTCGAAATACCTTACATTTCGTACTTCTTCGTTAATATTTTATAAATGACATATTATTTCTTTTGAAGCTTTTAGAATAATTGAAAGAAATAAATATAAGCAGTAACATACAGACTGATAAATTTACCTAAAGAGAAATGAAGCTAATCTCGCATGCATGCATTAGTTGGAAGACCATCAAATGTTACTCCTTCACTGAAGAGTTCTCTTTCCCGCCATCGTGTCATGCTCATGCTGAAATCGTGCATATCTCAAGCTTCTGTAGGATGCTGCAACATTATGTAAACATGCAATTAAATGCATGGGATATAGGTATATTTGATATTTTTGAATATATTTATGTATGATTCTTTTGCATACTAATCGAATTAGCTGCTATGTCAGGGATATTGAGCGTGTAACGCATGCGAAATGTTTCAGTGTGTATTGCATCGAGCGATTAAAATTGAAAGTACTCTGAAATAAAAGTGAGTAACACACAAACTTGGAAGTGAATTCAGAATTTGTCCCTCTATTGTTGTGAAAGGAAGCCAGAATATATTGATTTTATTGAAAATACCTTTCTTCAGAATCTTTAAGAATGTTTAAGGAGACTCATTTCACCCACAGTTTATCAAAGTAGATTTCATTATCCTAGAGCACAACTTATAATGTAGATTTCAAATATCCAAATGGAGGTTATGATACCATAAATATTTTTCTGTGAATTTTTTAAGAACTTTTTTTCTGATTTTAGCTAAATGCTTTATTTCAAGTTTATTATTTATTGCAGAAATGTCAGTGTCAAATGATGGACATCTTCTTCAGACATGTACACAAAATGACAATACTTCATAACATTCAGTATTATCTTTATTAGAAATTAAAAATAGTTTTCTCCTAAAAATACAACAACAAACAAACAATTAATGGCATTTTCTTCTTAATCTGTACATGAATAATTTGGAAAATCAGTTAGAAATAGACAAGGATGTATTTCAATGAATAACAATTGACAAATATTGAATGAAGAATGTTTATCGAAATGAAAATTCCAATTTAAAAATATTTGGTTTTAAAAGTCCACTTGCAAGAGTTATCTTTCCTATTTCCCCTAGACTCAAAACACAAGGGATGTTTGAACATCTAAAATTCAGACTGAGGCTAAAATTTATAGAGTATATATTTTAAAAAAAAATAAAGACAAGTATATAAATCATCAAGAATACTGTAAATAGCGAAGTCAATTATTATTTAATTAAACAAGGTCATTGTTATGAACTCGAATTTCCTCCATACATACATGTTTTCATTGGTAGAGCTCGCTGTTTTCGCTATTAAATTGAACATTACTTGTTTAATGAAGATTTGACTGTTGTTCTCTTTGGTGTCTACTTAAAAACAGTCTTTCTTATAATTCATAATGAATCTGTTACTTTAATTGTTTTCACTGTTTACAACATCGCATGTTTAGTCTATTTTTAAAGTGTTTGAAAGATTTAGATCATATTTATAAGGGAACTTGTACAATTTGTCTCCAGGAGAAAATGGACGAACAATGGAGGTTTATTTTTCTGTGTAGTATGTCATCAAGAAGTGGTGTTATGAGCCTCCTTTATATTGGTCGGTGCTTTTACCAAAAAAGAAAGATTTCATTAAAGTGCTATTTTTAGCTCACCTGAGCTGAAAGCTCAAGTAAGCTTTTCTGATCACCCGTTGTCCGTCGTCCGTCCGTCCGTCTGTCTGTCCGTCCGTCTGTAAACTTTTCACATTTTCAACTTCTTCTCAAGAACCACTGGGCCAATTTTAACTAAACTTGGAACAAAGCATCCTTGGGTAAAGGGGAGTTTAAATTGTTAAAATGAAGTCCCAAGTCCCATTCTAAGGGGAGATAATCAAGAAAATACAAAAATTGGGTGGGGTCATTAAAAAATCTTCTTCTCAAGAACCACTGGGCCAGAAAAGCTGAAACTTATGTGGAAGCATCCTGGAGTAGTGTAGATTCTAAATTTTTCAAATCATGACCCCCGGGGGTAGGGCGGGGCCACAATAGGGAATCCAAGTTTTACATAGAAATATGTAGTAAAAATCTTTAAAAATCTTTAAAAATCTTCTTTTCAAGAACCATTGGGCCAGAGAAGCTGAAACTTATGTGGAAGCATCCTGGGGTAGTGTAGATTCTAAATTGTTCAAATCATAACCCCCGGGGTAGGGTGGGGCCACAATAAAGAATCCAAGTTCTACATTGAAATATATAGTAAAAATATTTAAAAATCTTCATCTCAAGAACCACTAGGCCAGAGAAGCTGAAACTTATGTGGAAGCATCTTGGGGTAGTGTAGATTTTAAATTGTTCAAATCATGACCCCCGGGGGTAGGGCGGGGCCACAATAGGGTATCCAAGTTTCACATAGAAATATGTAGTTAAAATCTTTAAAAATCTTCTTCTCAAGAACCACTGGGCCAGAAAGGCTGAAATATATTTGGAAGCATCCTGGGGTAGTGTAGATTTTAAATTGTTCAAATCATGACCCCCAGGGGTAGGGTGGGGCCACAATAAGGAATCCAAATTTTACATTGAAATATGTAGTAAAAATCTTTAAAAATCTTCTTTACAAGAACCACCGGACCAGAGAAGCTGAAACTTATGTGGAAGCATCCTGGGGTAGTGTAGATTCTAAATTGTTCAAATCATAACCCCCGGGGGTAGGGTGGGGCCACAATAAGGAATCCAAGTTCTACATTGAAATATATAGTAAAAATATTTAAAAATCTTCTTCTCAAGAACCACTAGGCCAGAGAAGCTGAAACTTATGTGGAAGCATTTTGGGGTAGTGTAGATTTTAAATTGTTCAAATCATGACCCCCGGGGGTAGGGCGGGGCCACAATAGGGAATCCAAGTTTTACATAGAAATATGTAGTTAAAATCTTTAAAAATCTTCTTCTCAAGAACCACTGGGCCAGAAAGGCTGAAATATATTTGGAAGCGTCCTTGGGTAGTGTAGATTCTAAATTGTTCAAATCATGACCCCCGGGGGAAGGGTGGGGCTACAATAAGGAATCCAATTTTTACATTGAAATATATAGTAAAAATATTTAAAAATCTTCTTCTCAAGAACCACAAGGCCAGAAAAGCTGAAACTTATTTGAAAGCATCCTGAGGTAGTGTAGATTCTAAATTGTTCAAATCATGACCCCCGGGGGTAGGGTAGGGCCACAATAGGGAATCCAAGTTTTACATTGAAATATGTAGTAAAAATCTTCTTCTCAAGAACCACTGGGCCAGAAAAGCTGAAACTAATGTGGAAACATTCTTGGGTAGTGTAGATTCTAAATTGTTCAAATCATGACCCTTAGGGGTAGGGAAGGGGACCACAATAAGTACTAAGAGGGGGGGGGGGGAGAAATCAGGTGAAAAACAGCAAGGCCAAAGTTACTCAGGTGAGCGCTGTGGCTCATGGGCCTCTTGTTTGTCTGTCTGTTGTCTGTCATTCTCATCCTTGTTAAACTTTTTCAGATTTTCATCTGCTTCTGAAGAACCACTGGGCCAATTTCAACCAAACTTACCACAAAGAATCCTTGGGTAAAGGGGATTAAAGTTTTTCAAATGTAGGGCCATGCCTTCTTCTAAGGCTAAATAATTATGAATTTGTGAAAAAATAATGGCATCTTCTCAAGAACCACTGTGCTAAAAAATATGAAACTTGTGTAGATTCAAGTTTGTTCAAATCATGACCTCCGAGGGTAGGGTGGGGTCACAAATGGCGATCAAATTTGAGATAGGAATTTGTAGGGAAAATTTTTAAATGTCTTCTTCTCAAAAACAGTAAAGCCATGATTGGTCATATTTATATGGAAGCATCCTTAGATAGTGTAAAATCATGTTTGTTCAAATCATGACCCCCTCCCCTGGGGTAAGAGTGGGCCAAAATGGGTGATCAAATTTTTACATAGGAATACATAGGAATATTCTTTAAAAATCTTCTTCTCAAGAACAGCAAAGCCATGATTGGTCATATTTATGTGGAAGCATCCTCAGGTAGTGTAGAATTAATTTTGTTCAAATCAGACCCCCAGGGGTATGGTGGGGCCACAATGGGTGATCAAAGTTTGACATAGGAATACATACAGTGACGATTCTGTTCCGATATTAAGCAGAATTCCGCTTATTTGAATCCAAGAATACGATATTAACAAGTGTTTTCCTATATTTCAGCACTTTATATTTTTGCAGCGACCTGTTTCCATTTTATAGTCTGCATAAGAAATTCAAATTGTTTCATCCGTGTTTCATCTAGTCTGCGTCATCCAGCGTTTGCTTTTATCTGCAAGTAAGGTAAACACAAACTTGGGGATGATTCAGACTTCCTTTGAATGGCGCAGCGGGTTCATTCAGCCTGGTCAGGATGTAAAAGTTGTTGAACAAACTGTCACACTTGAATTTTCGTCACTCATTTAAACTTACTTTGGAATTGCTAAAGCAGGGGTTCAAAATTTTTTTTATCACGGTCAAGTCCAGGACTTAAAGAGTAAATTTTAGGCAAGTCCGAGGAAGAAATTTCTGAGTCCATATTTTCAGGATAGATAAAATTATATTTACTTAAACCATCATTAAATATCGGAAAACTGACAAAATGAACAAAACATCGTTTTCGTATTGTCATTGTAATCAAGCCACGGCCTATCATCACGCCAGTGGCTTTGGAATTCGCGAACTCTCTTCTTGTCATAGGTTCCGTCTTTGGAATTGTTATTTTGATCCCCAGCTTCATGTTCCTCACGGGGTCTTTTATTTCTCGTTCCTTTACTGGTAAAACCAAAATTTAACAAACTCACGTCATATGGGAGGAAACAATGAGAAATTGCGTAAAAGCAGGTGTGTAACCGCAACGGAACATAAAAAGACGGATTGTATTTTTGAGACGTTCGTAATGTTTTGTGGGTATATTAACGCCAAAAAATCCACATTTTTATTCAATACATTTGAGAATTTGCTTTATTTTTAGTTTTACGAACTTTTTTCTTAACTTAAATAAAAGATAAACAAGAAACATTGCCAAGTCCCAGGGCTTTTGGCGATTCTAAATGCCGAGTCCGGATCCGGAATTTGTTAGTCCGGGACGTCGGGCTTGAGGAATTTTGAACCCCTGCTAAAGTCCATATTTTGTCAGCCCCTCGATCCCCGAATTTTTTCAGATATTTTGGCCA